GCATTGTCGCTGATGTGTCACGGCCATGATTAATCCGTTGATTACTGCTAATTCTTCATCTTTTTTTTCTTTGTTCTCACACATTGCATGCCTCTTCAGTCAAGGCCAAAACATCAGGTAGAACCGACCGGAATGGGTTGCTATCTTGTCGATGCGATTGATTTCTGAGGATAGGATAGGACACTGGTTTAGGAAAGGACGGATGCACATCATGCATGGACACAAGGACAATCTGGACGGCTTGATTAATTGTCACTTTTTCATTCCCCTTACAGCAGAGTTGTGGAAGCATTGCCTATGTACAGTACAGTATAATTGAGCTCAGATTAGAAGAAAGCTAATTCATACAGATTAGAAAGATACAGGGGACTATTGATCTGTTTACAAGACATATGTCATGGTTATATCTTGTAAGGAGAATTACTCACGCCAATGAACGATTAGTTCATGTACAGTTCATGTACTCTGTACAGATATGTGCATACATATACATATGTATGACATGTACCAGGTACATGGGTAGGTACATTATCTACATACAGTACAGTGGATTGGATAGATTTGCTATCTATGTCGGGCATGTACTCGACCCGGGAGAAAGGATGAGGGAGAATCACATTAATTAATTAGATTCATCTCCATGAAACACCGGTAATACATAAATTAACAAACTAATTAACAATCTAATTAATGGATTGGTTTTACCTCAGAATTCTACGATGCTACTTCTGTAACTCTCTGGGACGGTCATGCCCAAAGGTGGAGAATGGGGCCGCCTCGGTCGGGAGCTTGGGCACCAAGAACGACTCCGTACGGAGTAGTTGGTTCTTTCGGAGTTGTGTACCTTAGCTAGGATGAACTATACTAGAGGGTGGAGAGGACTGAGCGTAGAAATTTCGAGGCTCCAGTCTTTTTTTTTCTTGGTATTTCTTCGATGGGCTGCCTGCCTGCGTGGTCATGGCGATGGTGATGTGATAGGAATCACGTCAATGAGGAGAGATAGCTGTCCTGTCTGTCCTGACAATTGGCAATTCTTACTTACTTAGCCTGGAAGATCCATGGATCCATGCAGGATATAGCTAGCTATCTATCTATCTATTATCTATCTATCCAACTGGATGGTTCGACTGTATGCACATTATATATACCTTATGGATTGCTATCGATAAGCAGCGATAGAGAAATACTTCTAGACTCTTACCGGAACGGGAATGAAAGAATGAATCCCAATTGAATGAATGAATTTTAGTTGCTTTCGCTTCAATGCCATCTGCTATGCACCTGATCCAATCCGTCCAGTTGGGAGATCGGCGTGCATGCTAAAAAAGACGCTTCTAGATCATTGGGTGGCGGGCGTGCAGAAGAGCTGTCAATGGGAGCATCACTTTGAAAGGTCGACAAGAGATATCCGCGCCTGCCCCAGCATTTATTCCATTATTCCATTTATTCTTCTTGGTGCACGCTTTGCAGCAGACTGACGACATTCGACAGACGACATCTCCACTGCCATGGACGGATTCTTCCTAGTCCCGACTCTCCCAAGTACCGGACAGGACAGGACAGGACAGGACTGCACATACTCGAACGCCTGCTGCGTTGGGGTGCTGTGCATTGCATCATACATGGCAATTCATGACGGGAAACCAGGCCAAATAGCAATCATGGTGCAGTTGCATGAACCAGTTCATCACTCGGCTGGATAAAGTGTGCGGGATGCAAGATAGGACACAATGGCGTAGTAAAAGAAAGAGAAAATAAAAAAAGATAATATTCGAGCTGTTCTTTCCGCTCTTTTCCGTTGCAACCCGCAGGGAATTTTCCCCTCAATCATGTTGGGCCAGCATTCATCTTATTCATATCTATACCGATACCGGCTCATTTTCCATTTTAGCCGGGCGCTGCGCCGTGCGGCGGGGCTGAGAGGGGAAGTCGAGTCGCTCTCGAGGCACGCCAATCCCAGCAGCGCTGTTCCTCTGCGAGTAGCATCGTGAGCATTATTGCTGCTGGGATATGGCCGGTCAATTGGAGCCACGCATGGGGCTAAGGCCGCAGGTTGCATCCCCGGCGGAGAACGAGCGTGCAGCCCGGCAAGCGCCCTGGCAGCGCCCAACGCATGCGCTTCCTTCGACAGAGGTTTCGACAGAGGTTAAAAACTATTGTTGAGCGCGCTGCTGGGCGAGGGAGAGCTGGAGAGGCACTGCCAGTGGGGAGGCTAGCCATGGAGCCGGTGATGCTATTCCAGACTGACGGACTGGAGGAGGCCTCTGCCTGCTCTTATATAGCGCACACAGAGAATAATAATACATACCTAGAGAAATAATCATTATAGACTGGCGCCACAGCAGCAGTCACCAGTAACTCGACGGACCATTCACCTGTCGTCCTTGTCTGCCTGCTCGACTCTGCCACGTCGGGCCAGGATCGTCTGTTGATATTATAACCCGGGAGCTCTCCCCAGGCATCATCGCGAAACCCGCTGCTCGCTGCTACAGTATCAGGAATCCCCATTCTTCTTGCTCGATTTAGGGAATTAAATCCCGCGGGTTCGTCCTGACAAGACTCACAGACCACCGGCCCAGCCCCCTGGTCAGGCCGCCGTGCGTCATTTTGCTAGCACGAAAAAAAATTAGCAAAAAGCGCGGTGAACAAAATCCTCCGCCAGGCAGTCACTTACTTCTGGCATCCATCCTCTCTTTTCTGCTCTCTGCCAGCCTTGACCTGCTCCTGGCTGGTGCCATGAACGTGGCGGTCTAGGGGATCGCCCGCGACAGGCAACAAAGCATCGCTCACCGGTCAATTGTGCTTCTCGACCTGCAGAACCCCTCTCTGGGCGCAGCAACGACCAAGAGAACCCTTCTCAGCCTCTCAACTCCATCCCAATCCCAACCTCGATCAGCTGCAGTTCCAATCGCCTTCTCCATGCGGCCTGTTCGATCTCGATCCCATCCTCCCGGTATCGCCCAGCCATAGCATCACGTTCCTGTGCCACGCCGCTCACCGACCTCGCCATCACTGCACGCGCTGCACCGCCAAACGCCGCGTCCTCGCCTCGACCCTCGCCTCGTCTTCGCTCCTCCTCTCCTCTCGCTCCCTTTTTTCTCTCTGCCCTCCGGCCCCCCCC